CATTGACACAATTATTTTTTGAAACTTACCTTATTATTATTGTATAGAAGTAATCAGTCTTTGTCCAGTGGTAAAAATACAAGCAGTCTCAGCAAATTCGGCGCACAAATAAAAAAAAAACGTTGCTTGTTGCGCATGCTCTCTAACCTTCCGTACTTCTTCTTCTGTTGTTTTGTTGCACATTAGCAACACATTAGCGCACTGCTGCTTCCCACTGGTGTATTAATGTCATCGGTTTTGTTGTGGCTCCTTGAATATTTTAAGTAAGAGTTACTCATTGCAGCAAGTTGTTTTATTCGCCTTAAAATTAGCTGTTACTTAATAAAACCGAGTAAGTATAACAACTAAGTAAAGATAACTAATTATATCTAAGTAAGGTAAACTATTGGATTTTACAGTGAGGCACTAAACTCCCAAACCAGTGCTTTCTTTCTCTGGACAAACAATCAGACAGGAATCATTTATGAAAACATCTACTTTTAATTCACAACCTTGATATATTAGTGATATATAGTAGTGTGCTGTCTGGTCAGGAATGGAAATAAATGGAAGCGCAGTAGCATTTTATTACAACCATTACCATCATCACCAACATAACTAAAAATGAAGATTCAGTCATTATTTACTCAGCCTCATGTCAATCCAAACCGGAGGTTGGTTGGTTTAGTGTCGATAAAATCAGTTATACCTAAAATCAGACCGCAGTATTGGTTACCAGCAAAAACAAAAATGAAGTTCAGATTCTTTCATTAATTTTGTATGTAACTATAACTATTTATTTTATTTGGAGTTTATTATCTGTATTTTTATTTAATAATTACAAAACTTATTCATTATCACTGTAAATTATTGTTAATTTTGTAATAAGGTTCATCAAAATGCACTATCACTCGACAAATTTTTTTTTCAGTGGAAGAAAAAAGGTAATAAAAAAAAATCTTGCTACTTTTATCATTACAATGACAAATAACAAAATGACAAAAAAAAAAAAAACACCATTAAAAGTATAATAAAAGGAATTAATACAAATCATTCGGTCACACAGTTTGTAGCCAAATTGCCACTATTAACTAAGTATTAACTACAACTTTTGCCTCAGTAAACTCCTAATTTGCTGCTTATTAATAGTTAGATAGTTTAGGTATGGGGTAGGATTAAGGGATCTAAAATATGGACTTGCAGAATAAGAATATGTGCTTTATAACGACCAGGAGGAATTTGTCCTCCCCCCGCCTGTGGGCGACACAGTACAGCAGACCATTGCGTATTTCGAAATGAGGGAGGGGGTGGGGGCCCGGGAGCCTGTTTACCTCATCAATGCGGCGCATTTGATCCCAGCAGTTCCGCAGGCGGTCGTCCTCGCGTTGTTCCCTTCTGAACGAGCCCCTGGTCGTGACCTGGGAAAACACATCAAGGTAGACAGACGGTAGATTAGCGGGCTGACACTCACCCTCCCTCTCGCTGTCCGTCGCTAGGTAGGCCGGCCTTGGGCTGGGCGGTCCCCGACGGGGTCGCCGTGGCCCGTTCCGGGCGGTACGGCCTGGCATCCTGGGTCCGAGGAGGAGCTTCTGGAACCCCGGCCAGTCCCGTCCCAGGAGCAGAGGTACGGGGAGATCCGGCACAATGCCCACCTCGATGGCCCAGGTCCCGGGCTCCGCTGAAATCCGCACTGTACGGGCCGGTACATAGCGGGTGTCTCCGTGCACATGTGGCAGCGGCGTTTCCAGGGCGACGCTAATCTGGACTCGGGATACTCGCCACAATATATATATATATATATTATAATAGCATTATATAGTGGCTCAATATTATATTGTGTTTTTTTGCGCGTGAGTAACGAATTGAGCTCTCTTTCGTTTCTTCTTCTTGTGGTTTAAAATTGCTTGTACGTTTAAAATGGC